AGATACCGTGCAGGATGAATCATAAGGTGCGGGTCGACCGCGTTCGCTCGATAGGAGAGGAAGAAATAAAACAAGATCTTCGACACTAATCACCGGAAATGGAGAGGCGAAGCCGGTGTGGCATGCGCGTTCCATCTTCCTTCTCTCGCGCCGTAAGCAACAGCTGAGCGCGGCAGTTTGTCCTCGACTTTCGAACCGTGAACTGATCGCAGGCCGGAGGTTCCTCCAATGCGTTGAATGGAAACGTTGCCAGAATACGATTCGGGTCGCAGTCTCTGGCGTCATTATATGCAGAGGGGATCGAAAACAGTCTACGCATCGCGATCCGCGGTAAATTCCGCGAACGTTCTCCGCTGCGCTTCTTGACTGGTACGCGCGTCCGCGAAGATACCCATCATCTGTGTCGATCGTCCGTTGCGTCACTTGCACAGGCTCTCCGGTTTTCGATTGATTGAATTTCTGATTCCGGGGCGTCAGAGGCTCGCGTCGCTTCCACACATCCTTTGAATCGCCCCCTTGAGGAGATCGCCACGAGTCGGAGACTGCGACTCCGACCCAAACCCGTGTTCTTTGTGAACGCGTTCCTTTCATTCTGTAGCGTAATACACACCTCGGGAGAGAGGCTTGTGAATTCATCGCTCATCACTCCTCTTTTACTCAAGTCTGATTCGAACCGGAGCGAAAGCGGACCACGTCTGGTTTGAATCGAAGGCTTCGAGAACATTTCATCAGATGTCTGTTTCCAATGCTTGTTTCTTTTCTCGGTTGTCCTTGACTTTGAAGCCCGACGCTGCGATTAGCTCGAGCTCAGAATGTATCGATTCCAAGCGCTCGGGTACAGGTTCAGAAACTCCGGAAGTTCAAGGATTTGTTCGGATCGTAGGAGCTCGTATGCGCTGAGCGTGGATGAATTAGCGCAAGAAATCCGAGTATCCTATAGATAATCGGTAGTTCACATAGATTGATCGGTCATTCTGCACAGACCGTCTGAGGGGATCGAGTCGATAGGCTGGCGATGCACTTTTTTTTGGTTCAAGGAATCCGTTTCCACGCATGCCAGCGACACATTTGCTGACAGTCGTCAATCGGTACATCGGTATAACGCCGCGATAATCGTGGCGACAGCGATTACGGGCTACTCTTCAATTGACGGGTCCTATCGCCATGAAACAGTCCGCGGGGAGCGGGGACGCGTATCGTGTCAGAAAAACGGATGAACATCTGGGCTGATACCGGTCCCTCACCGAGAGCATCGATCGCTCTCTGACAGGTTCCGGCAGTGGTCGAAAGGTTTCTCCTTGGGATGAAAATCCAAACCATCGAACCGAAGACTGTACGTTGTGGAAACTGTCGATCAGTAGGAGGTGTATGACAGTTCCTCCTTCGTCGAGGTGGATCGGAGAGCCAGACGACCGGATTACTCTTCGGGAAAGAAGTTTCTCGATCGTTCTCGTAGAGTCATCGGCACCTGGAAATCCGGAATCGTTCCCGGGAGGCTCAGGCCGTCTACCGCGATTCCTTGGAGCAGCGATCTCTAACCGTACTTCACCCATCTGAGGCGTCGAGCTCGGGACACCATCGTCATGTTTCGTGTACTCAGAGATCTTGCAGTCTCAAGACGCGAGGGAACTAGCTATTTTGCGTCAGATACCCGAGCGCAGACCCCCGCTCTTGCGGTGGACGAGTGACGATTCCGAGCTTTTCGACCCGAACGGGTACGTCCGTCGGCGTGATCATCTCACGAAGTTCCTACAGGTCGAATCTCCATGGCGAGTATCGACCGAGGGAAAAAAACGTGGGAAAGTCCGCAAAAGCAAGCGCCTCTCGAGAAAGAACTGAATAATTGACGTCATGTTCCTCCATTTCCTTTAGGGCGGGCGGCAGGCACCCGGGAATGAGGGCAGTCTCTATTTCACTGCTCCTCATCAGCGAGATCAGTTGACAGATCGAGTAGGAGTTCTATCTCTCTCTTTTTCGCTGACACGCGAAATTGACCGCCGTCGTACAACCGGCTCAACGAGACGTCCATCTGTCGGACAACCGACTGTCGTACGGATTCACGGACCGGCCGAAAACGCTCACCCTCCCGTGCGGATACACAATATGTACTCTCCAGCCGTATGAGCTTATAAACGGATACCGATGCATAAACCCAGAACGGTTCAATGGGAGTCCGCTAATTGTAATCCCACAACCGTAGAAGTGTGCACCTCCTTTCCCCAGCGCGTCACGGCGGAGAGAGTTCGAGATCACTTGATTCAACAGCTCATGAGAGCTCCGCCACTGACTAGCGTTGAGTGGGCAGTGTACTGTGACTAGATCGGAGGAATACTCTATCCATCGAGCCGCTGCCACCGGTTCAGCTCAGAGGAGTACAGAAAGGAACTCACTTGAGGGATCCGGCTCGGAGCGTCTTCCACACAACACGGCGATGAAAATCAAGGAATTTTTCCGTGAGTTCCCCAGACGGTTTCCTTCGTCTACAACATCAGGAGCCTTGATAGCAGCCCCCCCTTTCCTCCCCCACAACTCCGCGCTCGTAGGGCTCTGCAGTAGGGTTCGTTTCCGCGGTCATTGTCCGGATTGTGCGTGTTATAGCTCTGGTCCTGGGATTGACATCAGGAAGAGCCGTCAGCTGGGCCGCAGTACGGTACGCACAGACCGCCAGGGGTCAGTCACTCCAGATGGACAGGTGAAATGTTCCGGCTGTCCTGAGTTGTGCGTCGACGTCGCGCTCAAACTGGGAGAACAAGCGCCAGAAGAAGATCAATTGCTTGAGACCGCGCGTAATTGCAACAAGACTCCGGATGTTTTGTCGCATCCCGGAAAGAACGCGCGCGGCACCAATGTATCCATCGGCGAGCATCGTGAAAGACAGTGGCTGGCTCGGCGCCTCTGGGGTGCATGGAAACAGCATTCGATGAGTCCATTGATTCATTGCGTTCCGTCCTGGACAGCCCGGTCCGATCAGAAGATTCGAAGCCGAGGCCGGAACTCTATCGGTCGGATTCGAAACGGGGCGTTCCGCCAGAACGCCGACCGCAAATGTCAAGTCAATGCCGAAAAGACCCTGTCGACGCCCGAGTGAACATTTACGTGGGACGGATGTCGAGTTCAAGGCTCGACTCTGTTTTCCTCCATCGTCAATCGGTCCCTCGTCGACAGGTTCCATACGGATTTCATTCCTGCCGATGCAATCCCATGACGCAACGTAATCGACACGAGACTTTGGGCGGCCCTGGCGGGAATCAGTGATTTTAAAAATCCGCAAAGTCGCTTTTCGAGCAAGGAATGCGCGAGAGCGATGACTCCCAAGCACTGTGTAGAAAAGCTCGGTGGCGGCGGCGCCCAAATACCACCTAGAAGAGGTATAGGTGGCGACTAAGCATTTCGCTCAAATCTTTCATGAACAGTTTATCCTCTCCGAGCCAATCAAAGCCTGGCTGTATAAAGCTGCGGTGGTGGTGGCGGCGGCAACAGCATTCGCATCAGAAACATTTGCCTACATACAAGTGAGCGGAGAGTGGGCTACAACAGTGTCCGTCAGCTTTGTTTGCTTCTTTTCGAGAGAGTTGAAAATGCCTGTTTTGTTAAGGGCTGTGATTCGGCGGAACCAAAGTGAGTAGGCCACTATGGACACTGGTCACTGTTCCATCCGATAGGTCATTCATCCTCATGTTTCAACGCTAAACGCCCGTTTCTTGGTCAGCACTTTTCCCAGAGAAGCTCAAGAGCCGTTCGATTCGCGCGTCGAGCGTTCTCGTTCCAGTTGTTCCACCGTCTTTTTCCTGTGTGAAGCTTTTTCTTTCCTCTACTCGGTCCACAGAGACCCGGGAGGCGATCGCCTTTCGTCTCAACGAAGTCTTTCTTCGGGACAGGCGCATCGGATATTAGTCGCTGAGGATGAATTCCGTAATTAGAGAACGAGCTCGTCCAGCCGCTGCGACGCGTCGCGCGGAAAAGCTCCAGCTGTCATCTCGATTGCGAATGTAAGCGCTCCACCAACTCCCGTCTGATCCAAGCATTCAGAGTCGTTTCCGAGTCTCCAATTAAGATTAGGAAGCGATAGTTAGAGCCGGAAACCTTGAGACGTAGCCGTCAACTAGAGAAACCTTGAACACTCAAGTGAGCGGGTGACCTCACGCTGCGCGAGAAAAGTATGTACTCGACTCGTTTGGGGTTGCTCACAGCTCCTTGGGTTCCGGACTATAACACGAGACTACATGTATCGTTGAAGAGTCGGATAAGATAGATGAAATAGCATCTCTCAGCAACATTAAGGCAGAGGAATCACGATGACACGATCTGCTGATGACATGAGCTTCATTGGCCTCTCTCGGGCAAAAAGAAGCCGTCCCGGTAATCTGGGCTTTTGCAAAGCGCAACGCGGTATCGCTGGTGGCGAGCAAAAAAAAAAGCGGCACGGCTCCAAGCTCTGAGACAGAGAGGACGACCTCCGTAGAACGGGGACCTGCATGATGCGATGAAGCACAGTGTAGATGTCGGAGGCGGAGAAAATATGTTTCAAGGCAAATACAGCTCGTCCTTGACATGGAAAAACATATACGGGAGAAGTCCGGCCGGATCCCGCCGATACGGAGACGGGCAGAGCGGTGCTCGGAGATCTGTTACAAAAAAGTCTGATGACGATTCTGACGAGTTCGCTCGGGATTATAATGGATGCCGTCGAGCGGTACCCGGGGGCTGATGCTCACGAAGCGCGAATCCGAAATTCGGTGGAGCGATTGGTCAAGTGACGAGTTATTCTCCAGATGGTCCGCTCGGGTGCATGGGATATCCCTCTCGGATTTCGCGAATCCTCCACTCGTAAAAGTAGGATGCTCCTCGAGTGTTTACAACAACGCATCCACCTGAGAGATTCTTTTCCTATTCGGTGCATTGACTCTCGACTGCCACCGACCGGTCGACCGAAGAACAATTTCAAAACCTTTAAGACTCAAATCGATCAGTCGGATCGAACCGCGAACTTCTTATTCATCATGATGCTCGGAGCAAGTGAACATCTTTACACCTTGACGATTTGTGAAACTCCGCGACGGGATCCCTTACAGAGAAACTTCTTCACAACGATTGAGGACTGTACGTCATTTCAATTCGACGAACGGTGAGCTCTATGAGAAATGAGATCACTTGTCCGTCCAGAACTCGCACAATGGTTCGATGCCAAGAGACTTCGTCCCCTGAGGAGACGAGTCGAAAGATGTTTTTTTAGCGAAGCGAGAGGTCTCCTCGCGGAGCGACGTAGATTTGAGGTGCCCGCCGGTATTTGGACCCTGTGTAATCAAATCGTTGGGATCTCTGGTTGGCTGCTGCACTTGCGTTCGAATCGGAAGATACGAGAGAGTGCGCGTGACGCGCCTTTCCTCGAGCGTTTTTTCCTCGCTGGGTCTAAAGTATCGCTTTAGTTTGTTTTCGAGATAAGACATGAATCTAATGAAGCCTAACAGAAACCCAATATTTTGATACAACCAGGATCTGTTGTATCCTGTCTTTCGCGTAAGGCCCGAAAGCAAGAGCAGTGAAGGTCCCATGATTCGACTTGACGTGCTTCCCCATACCGTTCCATAAGTTATCTCAGCCTGTCGCATTGTGGGCCAATCCGATTTCGAATACGGTTAGCGAAAGCCATGAGGGCAGGATTTATCCCAAGCAAACGAGTATGGGGAATCCCCGTTCCCAGGGGCTCATTCCATGTATCGATAATAATTCATTCCACTCCTCTGACTGGACATTCTTATCGTCCGATGACATTGAAAGGACCCTAATCTTGGCTGTAAACTCGATGAATAATCCGGAACGTCCTGCGCTTAACAGCTTCTTATGCGCGCAGGTAGCGAGGCGTCGGACAAATCCTGGCCGAGAGTTCCTGTTCATGAATACATCACGATTCGGTCTCGGCATCGGGTGCCAACAATGCTCTCGGAACGCTGGCCAATTCGTCGATGAATTAGGTATCATCTTGAGGTCCATGTACGGAAGATTTCTGAGCAATGATTTTTTCTCTCCGTCTCACTCCTCGTTCCCTCGTGCGCCACGTTCGGTACACGAAACTGAGTGCATATGCGGATCGGAAATGTGGCATCGCGGAATCGTTGTTTTGATACAACAGGTGTAGCCGGTGACAACCCTGTCGAATACAAACAACGGCGGGAACGTATGGCGATGCCCATGAACTTGCACTATCGGAGTTATGCTCAGCTCTCACAATGGGGTAATTCTATCATCTCGGATTGAGCGCCGTCCGCAGCTTATCCTCGGGACAGAGAACTGCCTCTCCTTTGTGTTCCCTCGAAATTTCACCACCGAGATCTCAGACCGTGTAGGCGGGCAACATTTCGGTTGCCGAGCCTCTCGTGGAGGCCTCGGTCGACTTTACGTCGCGAGGGATGCCACCCTAAAGCTATCGGACGAGTTTTGAGGCCTAAAATGATTCCGAGAAGGAAATGCAAGTTTCGAAAGAACTTCATAGGCCCTGTAGTCTCTAACCACTTCCATCTGTTTCTCTAGGTTTGAATCAAGCATTGACCACGGGAATGGTTCCTCTAAGAGGTGACATAATCGAAGACGGTGTCATGTACAAAAGTCCGCAGGAAGTCCAACGCCTAAGATGCACGATCGAAGCACCGTACCTCGTGGAGAACAGAATCATCGTAAGAGCCCTCTTTTTCCTCCTCATGCGGGGCTCGATAGTCATGAATTCTCAAGAGCCGCTGGAAAATGTTCCGTTCAGAGGCGGAAACACTCGAGAGAACGGCCTCCCGAATCGAATCGATCATTCTTTGTTCCCTCTGGAAGCCCCGAAGTGAGCAGATATCGGAGAGATGTAGATCTTCGACCCTTATCTTGAAAAGGTCATCTATTACCGTTCAGTTCTTATCCTGTTCGAGATCGCTGCAGAGCCTCGTAACCTTTGGCATGACGTTGATTTCGCTTAAGCTGACACTGCCGTGGTCAACTTTGACCTCGTGGTAGACCACCGAGAAATTCGATCGCTCGGCGTTGTAGAAGAGAGCGATCCGCTCCACTTGGTTGCGCCGGTTATTTCTGGTTTCTTCGGTCTGTCGCTACGGAGCGAACTGATCGAAAGCTCAAGCCTCCCAGTAGAGTGCACCACTCGTACGTGTACCACCGACCGATTACGGTCCTGGCATCTATTCGATAAAAATCTCTAGGGAATCCTAGAGATCTATATCAGAAACTGGCCATGTGGTGCTCGACACGGTATCGATAGATGTAGCGCTTGGAACTCTCCTGCACAACATCGAGAAAACTCAGATTGGTATTTTTCTCTTCCCGAAGATGTACCGTATCGCAGTCGAATACCACGGGCAGACCTGGTACGTCCATCGCAGATTCCAGGACTTCATGGTGCTCAGTGACAGCCTGAAGAAATACTTCCCGAAAGAAGTTGTCCCGAAACTACCGTCGAAAACACTCTTCAACAACCGATCGGAAGAGTTCGTGTCCAAAAGATCAAAGGGTACGTTCTTGCTTCCGCGATCTCTAACACTGATTCTTGAGCGATCCGTTCGAATCGAAGGTCGATGAGGGCTCGACGATGAGCCTCCTCCAGTGTTTGTGATTATTTGCTCCTATTGCGATAAGTTTCGACCCCCCTGGACTCACGAGAAGCCTGGGATTCTTTTTAGGACTCCAGCTATTCCTCAACGTGCTCCTCGAGTCGGAGCTCTTGAGGAACGACAGGCACGTTGCCGTTTTCCTCCAGACCGAACTTGCCGAGGAAAAACTCATGGAGGGCATCGAGAGCTCTCGGAAAGCCACAAACTCGTTCACGTCATCGGAAGAGGACGGACAGAAAGAAGTCGACTACTTAGGCAAGACCGAGAAGCACCACGTCAAGCCAAAGGACTTTGACTTCATGAAAATAATCGGTCACGGCTCCTATGGAAAAGTGATACTGGCGAAACATCTCGAGACCGGCCGCCACTATGCAGTCAAAGTTCTCAATAAAAAACACATCATGAAAAGGAACGAGAGCCGCCACATCATGCAGGAGCGCGACATTTTAATCAAGGTTCTTCATCATCCTTTCCTCGTCGGACTCCACTACTCATTCCAAACGTCGAACAAGCTTTACTTCGTGCTGGACTTTGTCAATGGCGGGGAACTATTCTTCCATCTACAACAGAACAAGCGTTTCTCAGAGAAGCGATCCAAATTCTACGCCGCGGAAATCACCTGTGCCCTCGATTATCTCCACTCTCAGGGCATAATTTACAGGTAAGGATCTTCATTCGAAGCGTCGGAAATCTCCCCGAGATGGCAGCGATGCCCCGCTGGCGAATATTTTTGTTAGAGGAAATCCCAATGAATGTTTTTCCAGGGATCTCAAGCCCGAGAATATTCTCCTGGACAACACGGGTCACATCGTTCTGACGGACTTCGGTCTCTGTAAGGACGGTATCAAGGGAAGCGATACGACATCGACGTTCTGCGGCACCCCTGAGTACCTCGCCCCTGAGGTCATCCGCAAAGAGGACTATGACAAAACCGTCGATTGGTGGTGCTTGGGATCCGTGCTGTTCGAAATGCTGTCAGGGTTGGTGAGTATCGCCGAGCGATTCGACGATCTCCAGAGCATTCCATGATCGAATCGTAAAGATAAATTCTTGATACCGATCGCACCCGGTCCAAATGTCTGACCTAACGTAACCGTTCCAGCCGGCCTTCTACAGTCACAACAGCAAACAGCTGTATGACAACATTTTGCATCAGCCCTTAACGTTCCCACAAACGAACATGTCTTCGTCCGCGCGAAACATTCTGACGGGACTTCTACAGAAAGATAAGGCGAAAAGATTGGGTGCCAACGGTGATGGAGCTGAGATAAAGGGTCATCCTTTCTTCCACGACATCAATTGGAATGAACTGGAGAAACGTAGGGTCAAACCGCCGTTCGTACCGACCGTGGTGAGTACTTCCGGTGGAGCAGACATCCTAAACGATTCTCTCAAGATCTCTCCCTGCCCCTTCCGAGCCGGCTCGGTTTATGGTGGATCGACTCCTCTAATCCTCCTTCTCCCAATATTGCAGAATGGGAAAATCGATCTCAACAACATCGATCCCGAGTTCACCAGGGAGCCAGTACCGCAATCTGTCTACCGATCCGTTGGCTCGACGAGCGTAGGAATGGAGAACAACGCTTTTAAAGGCTTCTCGTACGCGCCATCGTCCTCCATGCGGAGCGATGTTTATTGAATGGAGAGAATTTCTCCGTGTCTGCGAGAAGGAACATCCCTGTTCTTAGTTTTGTAAGAAAAATTCGACGAATATGTGCAATATCGAGTCTGGTGGTTCGAAAGACTTCGTGCAGACTATCATGGTCATCCAGATCCCAACTCCCAGCGTAATCGAGGAGGGCGAGCCGTGCGATTCGAATTCCCTTCGCCAACGATGCGCTTCGATTCGGAACATTTTATTTCACCCATCGGTTCCTGGATCTTAGCAGCTGGCCACCTGATTCGGATTGGCTTTCCGTTCATTTTACCGGATTTGTCGATAGCTTCATTTCAGAAACGGACAGTCTCATTCCTAAGATTAAGATAGCACGGCCTCGCCGGTTGAACTCACCGAATCAACTTATTTAGATACGCGAACTTTTGAACGCCCCGTGAGACTGCTGTGATCCCGTTATTTTCCAACAAAATGCAAGCTGTATATACTTCCCCTATGTGTACATTGACGCAGTAACGAAATCACAAATAAACGCGGAATGAACAGGAGCCTTGGAAGGTTTTTCTTTCGATACGCTTCGAACCAGGATCGCGCCGCCTCGCCGTGATTCGTCTTGAGTCTTCACAATCGTCTCTCGGGATCCACTTCTTCGCAAGTTCCTTCCGCGGCTTGAAATACCCGACGATCAGAGAATTCTGGTCGTCGAACCGAGCAGGACAGAAAATCGAACCGCAGAATGTGCTCCGAATAATAATGGAATTTCGAAAGCTTCTACTGTCGATGCCGCTCCCGCCGGAAAGCGCTCCCTATGGCATGAGATGGCTAAATATGCTCCCGATCGGAGCATGAGCTTGTCGAAAATCGCTGTATATCATTCCACAAGCTCTACGATTCGGGCGATTTCGAAAACGCCTCTCTTCCGAATAGGACCATGTAGTTCGCTTGATCAGTGACTTATGACGACATGCCATTCGCGCTAACTGGACGGATAGAGATCGAACTTTCAAAACGAACTTTATTAAGTAACTCGACTGACATTCAAAAATTAAAATCTTTGGTTCGTAGCATCGCCGTCGCCAGTCTTCCCGAAAACCCGACGAAGGTGTTGGCCAGAGATGAAGCAGCGGCAGGCCATCGCGGCGTCTTATCAACGAACGGGCTTCAGGGATTTTACCGCTTGGAAAACTATCGTTTGCAAGGGGAAATTCTCCTTCGAAGTTTTACACGTCCTATTGACATCATCGTAGTTGAGATCGAATGTCATTATGCCTGGAAGAGAAGATAATTCACCAATTAGGGACCATTATGACACTATGTACAAACGGGTCACACGCTCTCCGATGGGAGAATGCTCGCGATTTTCAGCACGCCATCGAGAGCTTCATTTTTTTTCCAAACTTGTGGAGATAAACCATCCTCCTTCGGCTGGAGCGCTGCACCGGACCCTGGCGAGAATTCGGCTCCGAGTCGCTGGAAAATCGCGGTGTGAGCATCTCATTTCCTCGGCGATTGGACACGATGCCCCTATAGGTAGCCTTGGGTCGAGACCTGGCGCTGGAAGTGAATCCCGCTGAAGTTGGGTCGCACGGCCGGAGCATATCATATCGCAACTCGTGGAGGCTCCCAAGCATCGGACAGGGTTCATCACGGGCGACGGGCGGAGCCGTCATTCGAAGATGATGGAAGCATGTCTGAACAATCGGAGACATTGCCGAGTTCCACACGTATATGTATCGTGGCCGATATTTATATACTGAGCCGGTCGAGAAGTTCCGAATCGGTCAAACCCATTGATTTCCCAAGAGAAAGAAAGGCATTCTCGGAACGGCTTGAGTCATGGAACACTGTTCTGTCGTCTCCGGATCTCCCAGCGGTCATGAGATTGGCGTTTGGCGAAACGTTTCGGAGTGGTTCCGTCGACACGATCTGGGAGGCTGATTCCAGACGGCGTGGCGCGAATCACAAACCCACGAATGAGCTCTGTCTCCATGTCTGTCAGTCTACGTCCACGCGAATAGTAGCCCTCTCCGACCATGCTGTATCAACATCAAAGGGAGACTCTAGATAAGGTCACTCCGCGTTCGACGCATACGGAACGTCTCGTCGGCGTCTTCCGTCGATTCGGCTAGAGGGCTGCAAGCTTCTCGTACCCATACGCGAAATAAAAAAACAAGGAACTATTGAAACCGATCCGATGCGCACGGACTGAACATATGTGGCTCGGACCAAAAGACAGCCGTCACCTCCACGGTGAAAGGAGACGTGAGTTTGTTTGTTGTTGTGTCCGGTGATTCCCACGCGCGGCATCGAATCCAGCCAGATTGCACGGTGAGTCGATTGAAAATCCACGTGTGGGCTCGATTCGTTCCCCCAAGTGGAGAGAAGTCCCTGGAAGCGTACTCGCTCACGCTGCAATGAGTTCTCTGATCAGCTGCCGTGATACACCATCGCAAGCGACGCGCGTGTACGGTCTGAAACAGTTCCTGAATAGTCATGACCTGCTTCCAGTTCGCGATTTTTGGAGCCATCAACCCTTGATTTCGCTATGCTTCGGTCGAATGGGACAAAGCGCGAGACACGTTTGGGAACTGACTCGCTTTAGATGCAATGATTGATCGATGATGATTTCTCGTCAATGCATCGATGACTGACGGCATCTCTTCTGTTTGCCTCCCTGTTCCATGTTGCACTTCCGCGACACGACGAATCGAAGCCACGGAGTCGCTGTCGGAAAAATACGACCGAACAGAATTCCTTCGACCCACTTCCACAATCAAACTATCAGCTCTCCGAAGATAAGCAGGACACCCCATGGGAGCCGACATGATTGCGAATCAGAAACTCATAAGAATCCATCTGAAGATACGGAAGAAAACGCGGAGAAGAGAGCCCAAACTCAAAACGGTGAGCAGTCATTCGATCCCATTGTGGTTCATTGATAATTGGAAAATGATGCAACCGGCGAACCCGCACTCTAAGCGAGAGGATTCCCTCCCCTAACTGTCGGTGCTCTCGCGAAAAATTACCGCAGGCGATAGCTTCTAATGAGTCGGTGACAACGAAGCCACAGAAGTGCGTCGTGCGTAAGAATTCCATGCGGGCATCTCTGTAGAGTGTTTCTCGCGGAGTGAGCCGCGATCGCCAGTCTCTACGGGGATGGATTGCCAAGCCTATCAAGAAAAAAACCATCACAACAGTGCTCCTCGGTCATGACGTTGACGGCCAGACTCCAGAATTAGATATCGAAGTCAGAGGCCTTTTGATGAAATTCTAAATCGGGAGCGAGTCGAGAGTCGATCCGTTTCGGGAGCGATACGTGGTTAGATGATCCGTTGAAGTCAGCCTGCAGGCTAGTTCACCGCGGGTTAATTGAGTTCGAACATCGCTCGCTGAAATTCGTACCGTCAGCAAAATTGTCTTCCAGGCCATCAGTCGAACGAGTGGTGGGAAGCTCACGCAGAGCCAATGCTGCGACGGTCGCGCACCGTATGATCTGAGCGCTCAAAATGTTTTCTGATTCTAGATCGCCATGAGATGTCACCGGTCGTGTCTGACGGCTTGCCGTAGAAACCTCTCGATCTGGCTGTGGAACTCCGTCATGTTGACCGCGATCTTCGTGATTCTGTTCGTCACAGCTGACGTGATCTCCGAGTCCCGTGCACATGACGCGCGGAGCCGTCGCATGTTCGAACGAATGGAGAAATGGAAAGGCCAGTTTGAAATCGACCTACCCGGATGCCGTATACCGTACATCGACCCAGCCGATCAAGTGATTGCAGCGGACTGGTTCGTCGGTGATGTTACGAGTTGCTCGCCGCAACCGAGGTATATTTTCTCGACGAGATCCCGCGGCAACCAGAGTTGCTTAGTGCTGCACGATGACATCCTCCTCGAAGACTACTCGCTGCTACCCGATCGGATTCATTGCACATACAGGGTGGTAGACAACCGATTCGATAGAGATCCCTGGATAAATGAATATTCGTCTTCGAAGCCAAAGATTCTCGAGCTCGATCTCTGCTTCGATGAGCCCTACGTCTGGATCGAGTGTTCCTTGCGGCGTAAGCCGTATAGACAAGCTCTTTTCATCGCGAAGGATATCCCGCCCAGGACTAATTACGTCTCCGTCGACGCACAGAATCCTAGAAAGACGAGCGTGAAAGAATCGTCAAAGAAGAAACTCAGCGTTCTAGTTCTCGGAGTCGACGCTGTCTCGAAAGCCATGTTCCATAGACTCATGAAATCGACCCACCGGAAAATACAACAGATCTACGGCAAGAACGCGATCGAACTATCCGGTTTCAACAAGGTGGGAGCGAACTCCGCTCCGAATCAGATACCGATGTTGACCGGCAAGAGGTTCCGTCACGACGAGAACGTGATCCATAACGAATACTTCGAGGATTTCGGAAGCTTCGTGTGGGACAACTTCTCAGCTAGCGGCTACACGACATTCTTCGCCGAGGAGCAGATGAGGTACGGTCTCTTCAATTATCCCGGCCGCCGGGGTCTCCGGGACGTTCCCACCGACTACTGGCCCCGTCCTCTGACCATCATCCGCGATGAGTTCAGGAGAACCCGCAAGTACAGCGCCTGCATGGGAAATGAGCACGTTTCCACGAGCACCATGAAATATTGGCTCGAAGTGCAACGAGTGAGTTCCTCGCCGACCTTCAGTTACATCTGGTTGAGCGAAGCCACACACGATAGCGTCACCGGGGCCAAGACCGCGGATTCGATAACGTCGAAATTTTTCGAGGACTTTGAGCAAAGTGGCTTGGTGGAGAATACGGTCGTTTTTCTGTTGGCCGACCACGGTTACCGCATCCATCCGTATCGAGATAGTCCGCTCGGCGCACTCGAAGACATGTTGCCGTTTGCGTTCGTTTTGCTGCCGAGGAGCTACCGCACGACGAATCCGAGCGATACAAAGAACATTGAACAAAACCGCAACCGTCTCACAACACCTTACGACATCCATGCGACGCTCCTGGACCTCGCCGTTCGTCCCTCAGGACGCCGAGTAGAATCAACGGACTTGGGACAGAGCTTATTGAGCTCTCGGATATCGCCTGTGAGGACATGCGGGGACGCAGGAATCGATCCGCAGTACTGCGCTTGTTACGTCCAGGAAGACGTAGAGCTCTCTTCGTCGACGCTGCCTCTGGAGATGTTGGCCGCCAGAACAATCGACGTAGTCAACCACTTGCTCGAAAACAATGGTCTAGGAAAGAAATGCTCGACTTTCGAGGGACCGAGACCCCTACGAGCCGTTGCTTTGGGATTGCCGAGCGCGAAATCGACTTTCAAGTTTTTCAAGGTCACAGTCGGAACAAATTACGCGGCAGTCAGGTTCGAGACGGTGTTTGAAAACAACGGCGGGAACTTTTCGCTCATTGGCCTGCCAGAGCGTTTGGACCGATACGACGTACACTCGAGATGTCTCAGCGATACGGTCTATGAGAAGTTCTGCTACTGCATTCGATGAAGATGGAATCTGGGCGGCAGTGCACCAGCCAGCGGAGGAAATTTATACGTAGACGACAACAGCTCTTGAAATAGCTGAAGGTTCCGCGGGATCGACGACTTGGACGACAATACGGTCATTTTAGTGTGGACCGAGGAGGGAGTTAGGAAAACGACAATTTTAAAGTACATAGTAGAGAACTTTGCCAAAGACTTTATCCATGACAGCACGACTAGGAGTGTGAGATCAGTGCGGCTCGACCAAGTTGAGAACTCACCTGCATATTTTTGGTCCAGTACCCACTGCGTTTTCTCCTGTATACTTTGTGGGTTCTCGAATGTAATCCAATCATCTCCTCTGTATGCATATGGCACTCTGGATTCATTGTGGAAAACCACCGTCCAATCACCTTCCTCCAAAAGAGCGCACATCTGGCGAGGATTGAAATGTAGAAAATGAGACTCAGAAACCTAATAGAAAACTTATGATCTTTTTCTCATTTGTATTAGGTATCTCTGGTTTTTAATGAATCCAAGGAGACGGATGCAGTCCTATGGTGATCGATTTGAAGCATAATCCTGAATCTTTTTCGAAGCTTCTCTCGAATGATGATTTAATAAACTGGATTCTTACCCGGGCATATGTGAGCGATCCTCCATACAAGCCGACGGCTTTGGCAGGGGAGCCGACTTCGACCCGATTCCGATCCGCTAATTTGAAAGTAACCCCGTAGAATGGCATGCCAACCACCAGCTTCTCGCGGGGCATACCTTGAACAAATGATAAGAAGTCTGATATCTCTGGTGGGGCGTTTTCAATTTCCCGCCAGCGAGGTGAATGGAGGCTCTCTGAGAGGATTCTTCCCTTGTTGAATCGATTCCTTCAATAAAATTCCCAGAACGCTGGGGAACTCGATTCCGCCGTGTCCCGAATTTCTACGGGGAGGGAAAGGAACGGGAAGCCTTACAAACCTTTCTGAACCCATAGTTCCGACGCTTCCGCGATGTTCAACATCGCCAAGAACGAAACCTGCCCTGTGTGTCTATGGAGAGGACTATTGAACTCCACCAAAGGGACAAGCTTGTTGAAACGATTGAAGTCGTATCCCATCAGCAGACAATAGTCCAAGTAGCTGGAAATGAAGAGGTATCAGGAAAGCGATTAGATCATGGGGAAACCATTGACAAATACGCCAATCGCCAGGATGATATCATTTTGGGAGATCCCAGAGGAGGCTTGAGCTCATTTTCCGCTGATATCGTCTTAATGTGATAAGAGACTCAGAGGACTACTACCGACGATCAAGTCATGAGAACCAGCACTCACAGCGCCATATCCGGTACTTTGTAACTGGTCTGAACGATCGTGATCGGAGCAGCCACCGCGGTGGTAAGAAGCAGATGGTTCCGGTTGCCGAAAATAGTAGAATCGTCGAAAGCCTTACGCAGTTCACGTAACAAACTTATGAAGTTTTCTTGGTCGGCGATTGGCATCCCGCCCCACGCCGGGAATTCCCAATCGATATCTAAGCCGTTGAATTCGTATTTCTGGATTATTTGGACCGCTGATTCGACGAGACTGAAATTGGAAGAAACTCCGTGTTTCAAATGGATCCTCCGCCAAGTTTCCCTTGCAGTTCCCGACGAGTCCCACGAGGAGAGTTCGTGATTCTATTCAGTATCCGTCTCGATCAGAAGGGGAGAACATCATTAACTTTTTTCTCCTTCCAGCATTCGTACGTTCGTAGAGAAGTTTCGTTGGAGGTCGTCGCGCTGAATTGTGCGGCCGGAGCACCGATCGAAATCATGACGGATAGATGCGGGAAACGCTCCTTGAGTTTCACGGTCCGACGCCATATCTCATCTCTGTTGTCCCCTTTGCCTATGGGGCATCAAGTTTTATTCAAATTGTCAATTCGAGCCAGGAGTGAACCGAAGTCATGAAAATCTGGTAGTTGCTTGTGGATTTCGATCTGTCCGGATGCTACTCACCACGGGGCACGAGCTTGTTGTTCTCGATGGCCGCGAACCCGAAAATTATATGGTCGCATAAGGTGCCGTTAATGTTTTCGGGTTGAAGACTGTGATCGTTTTCATCGTATCCGAAGTAGCAGAAGGTTTGCGCTGGTGCGGGATGAGAGGGCAAAGCTCGGGCTGGAAGAAAACAGACCCGATCGAGGTCATTCCGTTGTAACTGGTGCCCATTCCCGTGATGCGGGGTCGAAGATGTCTCGGTGAAAGACGAGTCGACCGCATTCCACTCACTGATCAGAGCTCCAGCTGATACACGTAAGAAAATGTCGAACCACGAGGTGCTCAGTTCAAGCATTCTCAGCTTGTCATTTGATCGGCGCAAGAGTCCCCGTGAATCAGATCCGATCAATCTCTGTTTTGATTGTCACTCGATCACAATGTCAGGGGGCTGCGAGATCAACACAGCGAGCGATCCACTGATTTCAGGAGGGAGCTCTCAGACAAATATTCGCGGCAGAGAGAGCATCACGGATACTCTCCTCACTGGTTTGATTGAATCGTATAGGAATTCTCGGACATCGCGGAAGAGCTCTAGTGACGTCTGTCGAGAGTCCACGGATGAAGCGTCAATCATCGTTCGGGGCGGTAAGAAATTTCCCTGAAGGGTCTCTGGCGCTTTTGCCGGGAGTCGCGTGTCCAGCACCCCTCGTGGTTTCGAGAAGTTCCGTATTCGTATTTCTGAATTCTATTCATTAAAATAGCTCAATCGAGTCGTGTTGAGGGAAAGGCTCTCGTACTCACTTTGATCCACTACGTAGAACACGATCAAATTTATCAAAAGCAAAGTCGTCGCGAGGAGGAAGACGTTCAAATAACGCTGCCGTCTCTGGAAACGATTGAGTCCGTATCACTGAACTACCCTATTGAGAGGACGATTTCCAACCGAATTCCGCACGGGGAATTCATGCTCTCTGTGGAACACCGGGAATGAACTCACCCGCCGGAGATGGAATCGTTCTAGCGCTTCCGACTTGCTCCGGAAAGCCTCGTAACTGACCGACGAGCTCTCCTGGGTAGAGGAAGACGAGGTCGAAGATTAGAATTTCATGCGATAGAGCATTCCTGATACTCCAGCTCGTGTCAACGAAGCCAGGGTGCCCTGGTCACAGTGAATTCCTGTCTTTGAGCACGGGTTTGACCCGTTGAGAAGTGTCTGGCTCGCAGCATCCGAGGAAGAAAAATTCAGGAACAGCAAAAGTTCAGAGTCGCCAGAGAGTTGAATAACGACGAGCCTCAGAAGAAGGCCTCGACAGGGCCGAAACTCCGAAACGAGCGTTCAATCCTCAATTTTCCTCAATCGACTTCTGAACGAGTCGTCACGGGAACTCCTCTCCAAATGTCGACCCTAGGCAGCGATGCTCCACGGGATGGTCACTTGGAAGTTTCCCCGCGCAAGAAATCAGATCGGATGCTGAGAGCTCTCACACAGAATTCGATTCTCCGAGCGAGTCCAAATCATGCTTGATACCTATCCTCATGCTGAGGCATCATCAAACAGTGCTGATGCTCGCCGAACAAGTATCGGCACTGTTTATCCTCGATGGCGCGGCTTCGATTCTCGGGTCGGATCAACAACAAGTCACCGTGTCCGCGCGGTGAAAGCTCCTAGTCCGACCACTACTCTGGTCCGACTTACCGCTCGGGTTCCCATGGCGACGTCAGATGCTCGGTGTGAGTGTTTCAATTTCCGTGCTCCATTACGAGTTGTCTCCAGCCACCTTTCGACTTGAATCTATCAGGATTAAGTCTCTCTGTCTGATAATCCGTCGTCGGATTTATCGACTCTGGATGATACCCATTCCATGGAGTCGACAATTGTTCCGTTCAAAAAACACGCCAACATTGACTTCTCTCGGTGGTTCAGCAGTCGAGCAGCTGCGAGACTCTCAGCTGCTCGACAGCTGAGAGAGGGAAGGGACGATTATGGCTATGTAGTGGGAGCATGATTCCATGTCGGAGTACTCCGTGTTGTGTTGTCTCCTCTCCACAACAGCCTTTTCGCCGAGTGGCTTCCACCTCTTCTCCGTGTCACTAATGCCAAAGTACCGAATTGAACTCTCGCGAACCAATGGATCATGGCGCCGATTTTCTCATCAGCAAGATAGCGATCATATCATTTCGACGATGTTTCTAGAGCTATGATTAGCCCCCTAATGCAGACCGCAGACTATTATACCAGCGATCCTGCGGGAGCTCTCCCGAAATGTTGTTCGTCGGGGAGCATCCTATCTCCGGCACAGGTGACGATTTCTATGAGACATTGCTGAATATCGAACCGCTGACAAGGTTCTCTCGATTTCTGAACGTCGACCTCGTTTTATCGGAGCCCTCTTCCCAGCTTCGGAAGCGGTATTGCGACAGTTCTAGAGGTTCCGCCGGAAGCAGAACGTTCTGAGATTCTCTCTCCTTTCTCGGGCAGCTACCGCTCTGGTTGCCCTACACATGTAGCATCGGCGGATAGCTTGATCCTTCGCTGTGGCGATAGAGTATGCGTTCGAATGTGCCTCCTGAGACAATCTACCTATGTATGTACTCAAACAGCTGGCCCGGAGCTAATCCTCATGCTAGAGGTCATCCGGCAAGAACCTCGCGATGCGCGGTGAAAGGCGTACGCGGGAACCTACTAATGTACCTGCTTGAGCTTGATTTGTGGGCGGGTCGACTGCCTGGGCTTCCGTTTTAAGGGCTCCTCAGTGTTCATGTAATCAGTCGATGGGGGTCTGTCCTTCATACGGGAGCGACATTCGTGACAAAGACGTCAATGGAGCCGAGCTAGACCATCGTCCGGCGATCGAGAAGAGAGATTATCGAGGGAGGAAGCGCGACCACCAATTTTCTCCATGAATCCAGTCGTAGCCTTATTCCGAGCCCGAAGCGGATCAATAGGGTGTCCATTCTATTTTACGATACGTGAGAGGACGCAACTTTCTTTGATCAAGCTCATGACGACATGATGAAGCTGATGCCAGTCGGAGGCCCGGAGATGGATCGAACGATCATCCAAACGACGGCGAGATCGGGAGCGACGATCACAGTTTCCCGTTCCATATCCGTTGTCTCTGGACGCGATCCGTCTCGCGAGAGACGGCGACGCGATACGAATTCGCGTTGGCCTTCAGCCTGCTCCTGTACTCTGAAGGCACGGATGATAATCAGAGCGATGAGTCGATTCTCCGACGGAACTTCATTCGCCATACATAGATTTGATCAGGCATCAGCTTCATCCGTTCGTTCACCGAGGCTGTGGAGGAATTGAAGAGCTTTTGAGCGGTTCTAGGACCCGGGCTCCCGCAGATACTATCGATAAACAGGGACGCGCATCATCGACGGGCAATGACGAATAATGGGCTTTCGATTTATTTTGGGTTCAGACATTTATATAAATTAGTAAGTTCAGTTTCGCAAAAGCCTATGCTCAACTGGTATATGCGTCGTCGCGGAGATCCGATGACTCCATGGCATAAGAGTATGCACGCCCGGTCAAACGGACCAGTTCGACAGGTGATCTTCGAGTTCCGTACAACTGTTCAAGTCTTCGACGAGCAGCGTAGTACTGCAAGCAGACTCGATGATAGTAAAAAAATGTCTCGTGCGAGAATATATTGAGTAAAATTCAGGATCCACCGGAAGTTCGCCGGAGTGGCTGCCTGTCGATCGAAGGGGTCCGAAGGACAGGGTCGGTGAGGAACCGAGCGTAATGCTGCGAGTCGGCTCGCTCGTTTTTCTCTTTGCAGATCAGGAATGACTGACCGGGTTTTCGATCAGCGAGCACACTACCATCGCTGGATCGAATTAGTTCTTGAAAGGTCTTTAGTATTCGGTTCCTGGAAATCGGAGCAGAAATTGGAGAAGAATACCGGACGTGACAGCCACAATCACTTTGTCACCGATGCCCATGCGGAATCCGATAGGATAAGCCATTCATGCCTCCGCAAGCCGTTCACGAAATCTCACGCTTACTACCACGATTCAGAAACATGCCCGACGTCGGCTACTACGACGACCGCCTCCACTGCAACTTCTCTACTTGACTCGAAGGTAAATCGATGTAAGACGGCGTGAAAGGCGTCTCGCTTGATGCGTATGACGTGGTTCCGCGTAAGAGACAACAAAATTCTCGGTCCCATCTCAGCGCGGAGTTCATGGGTCAAGGTGCTCCGACCGAGGATGACAGTTCTATCGACCGGCTCAGTCGAGACTCAAAAATCGGCTGACACCTTCAATGGTTCCGCATAATCGCGAAACGAGGTTACTACCCTGACTGCAGGGTCTCAGGTGCAGGAAGAATCCCGTCGGACACCTCTGTGGTGCGTAAAGGGCCTCCGGAAAGTACAACACCAAAACGGATACAGAGGATTCCGGAGGAGTCGGAAGCGACGGAGCGAGTCACAAATCAATGAATCTCGTGGTCGCATGCATAACGAAAGCGTGATTGCCAATCCCGATTGCGCTCGGTCGCGTCAGATCGCGCTGCATTTATGAGCTAGTCTGTTGACTGCGCTGGTGGCTTGTTGATGGCTGGCGGTATGAACTCGAACAAGGCGGCGACCGGCAGCTTCTGAAGCTTCAGAATACGCTGACGGGGAACGAAGTCGAGGGACGACAAATTGAATCATCATCAATAACATCAAGGCGGTGATGCAATAACGAGCGATTCGGCATGCATGCTATCTTGAGTTTTGAGGGAGCACAGGTGAGCCCTGGGCATTACCCTTTGGTCTTCTATGAGCTGTTCGGTTCGCTGGCGAAGTGCCTTGAAGTCGAAGGATCTGTTCTCGTCGTCGACGACCTTCTCTCTCCTGAATCGGATCAGTCACTGGTTAGATTTCAGCAACCACCTGTCAATGTCCAGACGGGAATATGGGCAGAGATACGACTCCGAGATCTTCTGGATACTGGGATAAGAACTCCGATGCTCGAGAGATGAGCGAGTAGGGAATAGAAATTCTCTGTGAGTCTGAATGGTTTCCTAATCAGAATATCTGACGATCCGAGAAGGAGATCGTTACAGCTCGAGAATGGATGAGCATCCAACGTAGCGTGGAGTTTCGTTTCCTGTGTCCCGGAGATCCGAGAGAGATTATTCGATGCGAGCGGAAGTTTTGAGCGGAGTGCTCGCGGAGAGCTCCCATATAGTAGGCTCACCTCAAGGACCTCAGGGTTACGTTACTGGCGAGAGAGATCTCACTTGTCGAGTCACAATCGAGCGTTCCATCGAACTTGATCGAGCTGAAATCCTCATTCGACCGTTCGCGATCCTCTTGGCAAAGACTCTCGAGATCTGAATGAAAACAGGGGGATTGTTTCTGAGCATCCTTAGTATTTCCACGCGATGACTGGCAGACTCCTCTCTCTACGCGTTCGAAGATTCGAACCCACTCATAGTCGAGACCAGGGAGACGAACGGAAAATTCGAGACAGACACAGCAAGAAAACAGTCTCGTGACGGAAGAGCGCTTCGCCTCGAGGCGGATGCATTCGGGAATAAACTCTCGTTCGGCGAGGAGTTCGCGGAACGGAACAGCAGTCTGATGACATCTCGAAAAGATCCGCGCTACACTGTCCGGAGGTAACAAACGACGCTAATCAACACGAATACATCTGTACAGAGTTTATTAAATGAAACGACCACGACTAGGACAAATTACAGAAACCTTCGGTGAAGATCTCGTCTAAGACGGGGACGATCGAGCCGCCACCGGGGCTGATGAGCGGTGGAACTACAAAAGGGACAATGGAGACTCGGAGCTAGATCGGCACAAGCAACACTTGAGACGCGAAAGACCCGTTGCGCGGATGCCATCGGACGGAAAGCTTGCAATCGATTCCATGCACTCCCGAGATCGATGCCGGGTATGAATTTGAACGCAATTGGGACAATTAGTAGAGTTGACCTTTCGAGTCGATTAGGAGAACGATTCCGGAACCACGGAGAGAGCAGGTGCTCAGAGGCGAATGTGACAGAGTGATCAGCTCCGACGGTGCAATAGAGAGGAGGCAGATAAGGGCACGGCTAACGCAGAACGATAAACGAAGCGGGAACTGAACGACGACGTTGATGATTGGATCGTTCATTGACGCAGACGGATCACGAGACAGGTATCAAGTGATTGGTTGTGGTTGCGGTCGAGCTTGTTGACGTCGTCACCGTCGCGGTCGTCGTGCTGGTCATACCGTTGTCGGGGCAACTGTTTAGAGACACTCCGGAGTCGTTGGGGATACTCTGTTTGCTGACGTGATTGTCGAAATGCACGTGATCTTCTCCTCTCCCCGAATCATCTGCAACAGTAACGGGAAACCGCTCATTTCTGCAGGTCCGTCTTGTGATGATCCGCTCCACGATCGGTCTACAATGGTATCCTGAGCGCGGGCCTATGAGATAAACGAAACTCCAATGACCAAATCTGACGGGACTTCTCCCCATCAAGAGTTTCCCAGCGCCCCCCCCCCATTTTCGCAGCAGCATAGGCGTACCGGTCCGAGTGATCAGTTCTGAAATGGTCTATCGAGGGAGAGCTTGTCGCCCTTCGCGAGAAAAACCGACCATGCACGACAGGAAAAGTCTTCGCGACGGCCTCCGAACCTGCGACACAGATATCGCACCGGGTCGAGAGCCTCAGGGATAGGGGTCGATATCAAAAGGAGGGGCGAGGAAGTGACGGTTTCAATCGACTCAGGAACTCCTCGGGGGCAATTTCCAGAAAGTTCGTTCCGAACCTATCATAATCGTTTCTCCGAGCGCTGGGTCGTCGCCTGTTCGCAAGGGAACCCATTCACTCCGCACCTCGTGGAATTCACCTACCTCGCTCTTGTTCTTCGGCCTCCTCCTCTTCGCCGATCGTTGTTTCCTGATGAACTTGCGTTTTCATCAAGCGGACTTTAGTCACAGCAATGGAGTCCCTTTTGAGTTTGAACTGGAAAAAGTGCAGGTAGACAGGAAGAGATTACAACGCTGACACGAAGACCACCACATCTCCAAAAACATACTGAGCGCTATCGGATCGAGCTGCTGAGGCGCTTGTCTGCGATTTCGGCTTTTGACGGCTCATTTTTCTTTTGCTGTAGCCGACACGCGTTTTTCATTGCGCTTAATGTTGTTGTTGTAACTGGACTCCATTGTGCTCCGTCGTGCGTGACCTTCCACATTCAGAGTGCGAGAAAAAGATCATTCGCGACCACCAGCGAGACCGTCCAGGAGAAAAATGTCGAGTTGGGCTGTCTAGGTGGCTAGCCGTCAACAAACAAACATTTGTCCGTCCCGACACACGAGCATAACTTCATTCTCTTCTTCTGTTTACGACTCATCTCTGTTCGAGCGCTCGTGATTACGGATTACGGCCGGCTGGATTGCCCTTAGCGGTCGGATGTGGCAGCTCCGTTGGGTTAGCGAACACTTCGCGCGCGCAATAAGCTCATTGACTCCCGTCGGAATATAAACGAGAGCCTGGAGTTTCCGGTCGAACCGTTCCGTTCGGGACTTTCAATGAATTACACCCGAAACAAGCTGGTTCCCATCGCCAAATCCTTCTGGAAACGTCTGTCGTCTGTTTCTCGGAAAACTGACAGCTGCTCCACTCGTTACGCTGATATGGTGATATCAGAACGTCCGCCTGCTCGTCCGGCTCGAAGTCATGAGAATCGACGCTCGGTGCAAAATGAGATACGTCAGTATCTATCGTACAGCTCGGGAGCATGGAGGATAGTCAGCCGGCTGCCCACTGACCGACACGGTCCTCACTCGGTATTGACTTTATCTTCGAGGGTGAAATACGAAACTAGAAAAAAACTTGAGCGTCAGCTGCACCCACAGCGATCAATCTTTGGTAGAAATCACAGAGGATGCTAGATCCTGTGCTTTGGGAATTTCTGCCGTAGGATTTGAATCCGCCTAAGAATGCGAATATTTCACCCGCTCAAGTGTTTCTGTGGTGCAGGTGTGCCATCAAAGGCGTATCCTTAACGGAGCACAATGTACCTGACAGCGCCCTCCTCGTCTGACTCTCGGAGCCTTCTCGGAAACTTCCGCTGTTTATCCAGTCTAGACGGAATCTCATTGTTCGATTGTTACGGAAAAGTCTCGGATTTTCTGATTCCCCATTTTGCTATGCTCGGTGATCCGAGAAAGAGCGTGAGCAGACTCACCTTAGTTGAATGTGCGGGATCGTCTTCGTCGATGGCGTCGTTCGCGTCCATGGCATCGTCATTGACTGCTGGGGGATGAGCTGTTTTGAGAGGCTTCCCCGGTCTGGAATGATTCAGATCAGAAAATAGTGATTTCTGAACGTCCCCTCCGAGTCCATTCTCGCCTCCGCGTTCCTGAGACACTGATCCACTGACGGAGCGACGATTCCCACGGAGCCGACATCGACATAAGTCCAAACTCACTTTGCCGATGGTGGAGATTTTTCGCCGTTTTTCTCGGAAGTGCTTGACGATTTTCTGCTCGCGCAAGCTCCCATTGTGTTTTGTATCGACTCTGGGATTTCTTGAATGGTAGCGACACCGGCTGTGACGGTGGCGGCCGCGGTAGTAGCAACAGACGTTCCTCTTGGCGTTCCGAAAGCTACGCACTGTCGTTCCGTGATCGTTGCTGACTCCTCCGCCGGTCGCGTACTGCTGCTCATGGAATCCTCCTTGCCTTCGACGTGGTCTCCACACGTGAGCTCCTCTACGGCGGTGAGCGGACTCTCCCTAATGATGCTCAACGTGAGTTCCGTCGGGATGAGCAGTGGGAATGGTGAAGCCCTCCGATTCGGCGCTGTTTTCCGCGTGGGCTTATTCGAACGATATGGCGTCGAGCAGAGGACTTTCGATCTCAGAGCCGACGATGGCGACCTCGCGGACTCTCTGGGGATCGGACAGAGAACTCTGGCCGCCAGCGGAGAGGGAGTGGGGGGCATCGGGGAGACCATGGGTGGAGGATTGAGCGTTGATTCCGCGACTTCCGATTCAGGACAGTCGTTGCGTCGGATGTTATTCATCCAGAATCCCCTACGCGGAGTGGGTGGTATTGGGGAAGACATCTGGATCGGAAAAGACGTTTCATTCCCCCAGCTCACGGAGCCATGTAGCGCTCCGAACTCTTCAGAGTTACATTCGGAGGGACCAAAAGAATTTTTCCGGAAAATGTCAGTAATTATTGAAGCCACTTCCGAAGCACTTCTCTCAATAAGCTCATTTGAGATACGAGTTATCCGGCGCATTGGTTTGGTCCAACGAGAAATCGTTTCTTATGCACTTGTTCAAGAGTTTCGGATTTGAGCCGTCGCGTCAGACGAGTGTCGAGAGGGGACAAAGTCAAATTCGTGTTCGGAACAGAATGGTCGATATCGTGTTATCATTCATATTTCCCCGAGAAGCATCAACCCACGGAATTCAAAGCGATACGGGAGATGAATTCGTTTTCGGACTTCCGTTCCCAGTGCGTGAGCAAGAAAATGATATTTTACCCACGTTTAAGGAGCATTATCACTTACTTACCGACGCAAACTCCGAGTTGATCCTCAACGCTTGTGTCTAGGAAGGGATATCCGTGGAACTCTTCGGCGAATTACAGCCGGAGACACGCACCCGTAAACACACGCACACGGACAGCTTCGATCGACGTGTTTATATTTTGCAAACGGAACGTGCACCGCTAGACATGGGATATTTATTCAGATTCGGAATGTTGCTCGGACCCCTCTCGATCTCCTCTGCATCGCCTCCCGGATTCCGATTCATATGGATCAGATACGGGATCAACAGATTTCAGCCTAGTCTTCGAGCCGTGACCCTCTGACAGCCAAGAGAGAATAGTTTTCGCCGCTGCGTCTCGCGCCGCAATTCGAGATTCCTTCGTTGCCAGGCCGTGAGTGAAGACTCTCTCCTTCATGTTACTGAGCAGGTTGAGAGATCAGCTCCCGTAGAGGCGGAACACATAATCAGAGTGTTTGCGGTCGAAGCTTTGGAACATAACAGGTGTTTAATTCCTTACGCGTGGGATCGTCGAATGACCCGATCTGAATTCATTCGGGAGCGAGCAGCCGTAGCAGCGAGAAAGCGATTACTGGAACGATTGTCTGGTTTCATAATTCAGCTCGACTGCGGAAGCGCCCAACTCTGGAGCGTCTACGAGCTGGTCGGGTCATTAGCCTCGAAACGATGCAAATTCATCGAAGGCAGCGGGAAGCTACGCAGATGTCGGCCGGAGGCCGGACCCGTCATGGGCTGAACTTGGGAACCTGAAGTTGCGGATTCCGCGTAACAAAATGCCGATTGCAGCGCCCTTGGGAGACGAAGAGGAAAAAAGTAAAAAAGTTCGATTTCTGGACAGTGGAATTTGTTCATAGCACTTCCCGAGGCTTGTTGCATCTCGATCGTGTCGGAGGACTTATTCCTCCTCTTCCCAAATAATCATGAAAAGATTCCTACGCACGAGCAAGCCATGTCTGCCATTGTCGAAGTTTTCCAGAAGGAAAACCGCCGCTAGCGGGATCTGTCGCGGCGCCGTCGTTGAGTGTGTGGACGTGTTATCAGCACGAGAGCTTCTCAAAGGATGCTGCAGCAATTAACAGACCGAATAGGCGGCGTCTAATTGGCAAGAACGGCGACGAGTGATGAGCGTCTCCTCGGAGAGAATGACTCATGATTCTCGCCGCCTCTCCCAAAAGGCACAAGAATTCGCAGTGCTCGATGAGAAATCCCTCGGCATCATCTCTCTCGCTGGAAGATCCTCAGCGACGAGAATATGGTCTTGGTCGACATACCGCGTCTTCCGGCGGATCCCACCATTTCAGACCCTGGGAGTGATTCCAAATCGGGGCGATTCCTTTGCGAGAAGGGAGTCAATTCTGCTTTTTCGCTGGCATTGTGAGTATCCTCAATAAATCGAATAGTTCGGTATTGAGAGGCGCACATTCCTCCCGGACTAAGCTATTGCTTGGGTTTTGATTGGATTCCTATGGGACGGGACACCATGCGGAGAAATTCAATGGACCTCGGGAACTTCCGAGGTCATATGTCCCGAGTCCAATACGGAACTCTATTTCTCTATTGTAATAGGGCATTTTGTCGATCGTCGTGAACGAACACATCGTTCATCAGACATAGCCGGGGCGAGTGACAGAGTCGGCTAATCACGCGGCAGAGTTGATCCTCGAGCAGAAGTCCTCAGGAGGGGAAGACATCGAAACATTCAATCGTTTGCTCCAATAGTCCCTACTGTCCTTGACGCTCATATATGTAGTTCTGCGGGTACGGGCGTCTCCAGTGCGGGACCTCATCTTAACCAGCTGAAGGATAAGGTGAATACCAGAGTCCACGTTCGAGATGGAGAGAGCGTGTCGATTGAAAGGGCGCCACATGACGACGAACGAAGGTTCGGGTCGATTAGAAGCGTTCGATGAGCTGCAGATTCTGACGGTTACCGTTCGCCAACTGCCGGATCCTACCAATCTCCATGAGGGAATCAGCAGAGCATCCGCTAAGCATACATATCATCATACGATGTATAAATCACACATGTATCTGATCAACCGCCGAGGAATAGAACATTCTACCGGGACAATATCGAGCCTACAATTAAGCGAATATTATCCACTGGGATGGACCTAGATGGAAGTAGAAAAAGAGATCATGCTTATCTTCTCGCGATGACACAGTCGTCTCCCGCATTCGCCGGATGGAGAGAATACTTCATCAATCTTCTGGAACTGTCTCTCAGGCATCGCTTTCGGGAAGTCAGTGGGCAGCCTGGTTTCGTTACCTACGTCCCCCGCTAGCTCCGAGTGATGAGATTGTACTAATATCTCATTGAAAACCAGAAGCACCCTACGTAAGTGCCGCCAAGGAATCGTAGTCTCGTCAGAGACGGGATGTTATATCTCCCGCATTAATTGAACTGAGGGTTCTATGAACGAAAGAGCTTTTGAGCAATTTCTTTCCCTACCCCTCCCACGGATATCTACGCTTGCAATGACCAGTCGGTTGAGAATTCCAGTTAATTTATCGGGAGCCAATCCATGGGGCTGACAGGTGGACATTCTTATCAAGATGAAGGTTCTCGTCGATCACCTAGACACTCAGCCACAGAGTTCACCTGAATTTAGAGCTCAAGTTCTCCATCGACTTGCTGTTCGAGATGCATCTGAAGAAATAAATGTATAGGCATAGAGAGATCGACTTCTGTCCTCTGCGAAAAACGGCGTCATTATGCCGCCGCATATCGTAGGATTCGTCTGTCTAGCCCGCCATATCGTACCTCTTCAGACCAGCGGCCGACTCCTGAGTCCTACACGGGTGATTAGACAATACTACAGAAGTTAGCTTCGGAAGGCTCTCCTCTGAACTGCTTGAAGACTGATCGCTCCCTCGTCTATCCTCAAGCGACTTCACTGTGTGTATAAGCACGCGCTATGTCAGTGAAGTTTCCCAAGGATCATTGAAGTCCTTATTCCGCTCGAGACCTGGTATTGGAAATTCGACTCCTATCAGTCATAGGACACGGAACTCACCCATTTCCGAAACCCAAGTCGATTTCGTGAACGGTATGGTCTTCCCTTTGACTTTTATCATCGGATGCAGCAGGAGTCCATCTTTCTGAGACGGTGACACGGCGGGTTGGGGAGGAGGACTAGGAGGCGCTTTCCCCCTGTGCCCACACGAGTTGCAGACGGTGATCTTCAAATCATGCTGCTGGTCTGCGGTCCGAACTTCTTCCGCTTTCCCTTCAATGTGCGTCTGGAGAACGGTGAATGAGATTCAGTTCCTCCAAGAAATCTGCTCGTCAAATAATACGCCAAGAATGACAGCAAATATCCCAGGATACCAATGCAGAAAACCAATGACCTCCTTCCATTCCTTTTCGCGCTGCTCCTGAGCTACAAGTTCTCTCGCGATGATACCCATCTGCATATGACCGGAGTTCACTGGGAATCGATGCAAGTCATCGTTTTGAGCTCCGATGATGTATCCAGGAAATTGCTAACAATCGAAGGGCTTCATTGCATTCAGGAACAGATATTTCGGAGGGAACAAACATTGACCGCTCGTCTGAACTTACTCGCAGGTCCGTCAATGCTTAGGCCTTCAGGTAACAGTTCTCGGTGTCACAAACAAAAGCTCAGCGAAAAGCCCTGGAACGAGCGGAGGTCCGTCCGAATGTACTGGGGCTGAAGGAAAGTCGAGACACGGAGCGACGTCCAACGTGCGCGACTTCCCCAGATGTCGGAGACAACTGCAAGCACGCTGTCATCTGATCCGTATTTGAGAGCTCGAGAACGCTCCAAAACCGCTTAGTTCTCATTGAAGATTTTTCCCTGTTTTGCATGGTCATCAGCACCAGCAACGCTTCCACAACGGTCAGTCTTCTAGCTCGACAGAATTAGATCATTGCCGTCGAATGCACTCTGCTCTCGTTTCTGTTTTTGTGCTTCTCCGGAGGGCGTTCCTAATCAGTTCCCTGATTCTGTTGATCCAATCAAAAGATTCCTGACCTTTCGAGTCAGATATATTTATTCAAAGTTTGCGCATATTCCTGCAACGAGAAAATTGACTCTCATCGCGAAACAGCAGCCAAGCCTGGATCTTGGGGCAGTGACCCTTACTGATGACACCCAAGAAACTCTCAAACTTGAATTTAACATTGCTGGGACTAGTAAGACCCTTAATGGTAGTTATCCACAAGCCCACCGCGCTATGTCGCGGATATCTTTTTCGGCCTGTATTTTGCCGGAACACTCCCTGCTCCTCTTGACGAACAAATAAGCGAATCCAAGACATTCCCGGAATCATCAGGCTCCCACAGCCTAAGGCGAGAGGTTGCGAAACAGTCTTGAGGACTTCCAACTCGTGGATCGAGAAAGCAAACGTGGTGGCGGCGGATTCCTGATATCATTCCGTGCGCGCATCGAGCACTTTCGCGTGCCTCGATCCTGTCTAGGAAAGCGCGAATATAGACGATGAGAAGTCCAGACTTGCTGAAGCCCGGAGCTCAATTCAAAGAACCTTGAAAACCAAAACAAAAACTAGGGCGAGTGACTTTGGACCAATCAGAACTTGTCCAAAATGACCTGGGATGCCACTCGCACGGAATAGCGTTTCGCGTAGCCGATTGCGCACTCTTCACGAGCTCCTCGAGCAAATATTCAATTCGGCCAATGCGGTTTCGTCCCGACGGGGTGAAATCAGCGGAACGGAAATCAGAAATATGGAATGGGAAAGCCGAAAGGTCGAAGTCCGATAATCACGATGCCGTTTGCGATCATTGAGTGAGCCACGGAACGATAGTCCGCTTGGTTGATCTCGGAGGAGTTTTGCGAAGGCCAGAAGACCGGTCTGAGCGACCCGATTGAAGATCCATGGATTTCAAGCTCCCTTTCTCAACGTTTCTAAAAATAACCACCATATAAAGAGCTTATCATCATTTCGATCGCGGATAAGCCAGGCCGCTCGGATCGATGCTGAAGTTGAGCCCAAGAGATGAAATTCTCGCAGCTCGCTGTGATCCTCGTGTTTTGCATCGTCATCCTCGGCACCGCTTCGGGAGAAAGCGAGATGAAGTTCACGAAAGTGCTGAAAAAAGGCACGTTGGCTCTGATGGCCGGTGGTGGTGGTTACGCCCTGGCATCCTATAAGCAACGTCGATCGAAGAAGCAGAAGAAGAAAGTCGTTCACATACATCATCATCATGATTCCTTCGATGATTGCTGAGGGCTTCCCCTCGAATGAGTCGGATGAGGTGAGCGATACTTGGATGGAACTCCTGTTGGTGCAGAAGCTCGATACTATTGTGATATGGGTGTGAAAAAGCCAAATGTAGACTGCGCTCGGTCAGCGGAATTTCTCTAAATTTCGCAATAAATGCTAGCTTGCGAATCTCGGATCGTTTTTTTCGCTGGAAACACATCTCGGTTCTCCGTGGCGCGGCGATCAGCACTCATAAGGTCTTACGGGAGCTACTCCGCAGATCGCGTTCTGAGCTCTGCATCATCATATATATAATTCTCATATAACTTATGAATTCCGGCTACCGTGCGAGCTTCAACTCAACCCAACGAAAAAATCACTGACTCCGAAGATGTCAATCCGTAGGAACCCTCTCCTTTCGAAAATGCGTCAAGCGAGGAAGCTGAACGAAGAACTACGTGAACAACGCAAACGCGAGGGATTGGACAGGTTCATTGATTCCCGATTTGCCAGGAGGGACTCCATCGGGAGGAGCACCAAACTCCGGAGTCAATCTCGGAAGGTGGGAGTCATGCATCAGCATGGAGACAGATCACCCAGACATGAACGATTTTTAATGTTCTTTTTTGCGAGAATCATTGGCATCGATTGAGACGCTCCTTGTGCACAGGATGTAACCAGTACTTCACCACAAAGAGCTCGAGGGAAGACCGGTTTCTCTTGGAAATTCGACTACGATTTGACATTGATTAAGAATATCATGCCGAAGGGCTCTGCAGGGAAAGTCAAGGCATTGGTGGACTTATTCAACAGTAGGGTGAGTGAAGGAGGGCTTGGGGATAACTGGGGCTTTTATAGATTTCGATCGATCCGAGCTGATTTAGGAATTGTTTTCACACGAGCAGAGAGAAATAGAGTTCTTCTGACTCCAGACATCTGATCGCGAGAGGACTGGAGTGAAGGAGATCGTTCTGAAGGTGAGCACTTCCGAAAAGAAACGGACTCGCGGATCGCTTCGTGAGCGATTTTCATCAGAGCCCGGTAAGGTCATCTGTGAATCTTCGTTCTGCTGCCTTTCCAGAGGAGCCGTTCACATGTCTCAATAACTTCCCCGCGTCTTACATCTACGACGAACGAGGATCTGAGCCCGCGGATCGACCGGTGAGCCAGACGTGTCAGAGGTTCATCGGCCCTACCCGATGGATCCTTCGAATATCCTTACAATCAGCAGATCCGCGCTCATATCTCTCCGACAAATATTATCAGATGTATGATTTCTCCGGAATTATAATCAATTCAAAAAATACTGTTCTTGGAGTGATCGAAGGGAAAATTCCAGCGAACCCAATCGCATTCGGAAGGTATGCTTCAGTTCCACGGACCTGTTTCGCTACGAGAGAGAGACAGACTCGAGCACCGAAGAAAGCGGGGGATCTTCTTACGAAGACTCGGAGGGCACCGATGATGGAGGTCCCCCTCAGGCAAATCCAAGCTGCCAGCCCGGGCTGGCGATCCCGGACATCAAAAGTCTCATCAGCAGGTTTTCCGAGGTGCACGATTTGGAACAAGTCTGGGGATACCACTACCGCTTCGCGAATTCCTCGAATAATTCTGATTCAGGGAATATTCTCGAATTGCAGATTTGAGGTCGATCCGGCCGCTGGGGGCTCGTATCAAACGAGCGCGATCGCACGAGCTGTCTTCTTGATCTGAGGGCAGAGGCATCGAAATCCCAGTCGGAATGTCGAAACCCAGAATAAAGTAATCGAGATCGATGGGAATCCTCAAGCATTGTCGCATTTATTCTGCTTTATCCGAAGGTAGGCGTCAGCAAGTTCAAGGAAACCGACCGGAGGAATCCTTCGTGATCTCCCTTATCATTTCTCTGCTCATTCTCTGCGTGGAGTGAGCGTTCTTCCATTCGCGCGGGTCGGAGTTTCCGGTACGGTGAGGAGGCGCCTAATGGGAAACTCACGACGCCCTGTTGCGATTTTGAGAACAAGCCGTCCCCAGTCCGTGACTTCAAGCTTATTGAATAAGTCGGACAGCAAGCGACCAGAATACTTCGGAGGAGGAAGGGGTACACTATGTGAGACGAAAAACAGCAGACTTGACAGCGACCTTGTCTGATGAAGCTACTCCATTCATCGACTGATTGACTGGCTGCTCATTCCATCGTCTGTTCGTCCGCTGGCTGCTTGACGTCGACATTGACTTACCAGCCTAGTACCTAGTATCCTAGTTTTCAGCCAGTTGGCTGAGCTCGTAAAGAAAATGCACTTTATGGTACAGGATCCAGTAAAACACTCGGCTTCCGTGTCGCGATTATAAAACTACCCGGTACTGGTCCCACGAGCTCTAGAGTCCAGAGGATGTGACGGGTTTCTTACGGCCCGCAGAAAACACCCGGTGCCGCTGTTCCAGTTTTTCGAGCTGCCTCGAAACTCTCCCGTGAGGAACCGGTGGCAAACATCTCATTTCGATGCTGAGCCGGAGGGACTGTCATGATTGAGGTATTGCGGCGCTCCTCTAGTCTCGGAAGGCGTCACGATCTAGAAGTTGTGTGAGATGGGAGCTCCCTCGGATTTTGTGAAGTAATACATTCGATCATCGGGCTGAGTGAGTGCTAGAGGTCAAGAGGACCATCATTACTCGCGCAAGAGGTGTGTGAGGCCTGCGGTGGCGTCAGCTGAGCCTATTAAACAGAGATCGAAGTGTTTTATTAGCAGTAAAATAAAATAGCCACTTTATAGAGGGTTCGCTGTTTCACAAGCAATAACCTGAACTGACTGCCACCTGAACGAGACATTAAAGCTCACCCTTGCTTGTCCAACCTCTCCCTTGGAAACGCTTCGCCGGTCAGAGCCTTCGGGCCTTCTTATCAGCATTCGATTATCCGACAGCCAACCGAAAAAAGCGAGAGGATGGAGTACCCGTCTCACTCGATACAAGAGTAGAGGCGCAACGACTTCGAGCGAGAGCATTCCGCCGATGAAGTATCGGTGAGCCGTGCTCCGCAAAGAGGTCTCGATCCGCCTCATTGGAAACCAATTAGGCGAGATTAAGGCGATTCTAGTCGACGCTTGACCGCTCGGATACGTGATCCAGCCATTGAAACCAGAACTTGAGCCTTATCGAACCCAATCAGGGACGTGGCGGAGCAGGCGGGAACCTCTGGAAACTCCAGCCTCCCAAGTTCTAGGATCGGGGAGGGAAGCTGCCGAGAATCTTGAGGCCATCAATGTGGTCGACCGAGGTCCTACTACTCATCGCTATGATTCTGAGCGCGGTGCGACGGCGCCGGTAATGATTGGTGGATAGAGGAATAGACGGCCTTGACTTTCGAGCGTAGACGTTCGGAGAGGCGCAATCCCCATCATAGATGTCGCGTCTTCTCATCTTGAGTGTCAGTCCTGACGGTCAGAGAGCGACTAACCTCGTCGCATTCGCTGTCCGGGAACGAACTCCCCAATGCAGTATGTACTGCCCCCCTGACTCCCACCCCCCCTAAAATCGTATCGAAACGCCGTTGGTTCAATTGGAGTTCCGCGTGCTTACCGAAAAATTCGACGGAGACCGTTCCAGAGACGATCCGACGTCTTCGGAAGCCGACACTTGACCTCCAGCTCCCGAATGAGAGTATTGCTGAAAGGTTAGACTGCCGGAGACTCTCTCTCTCCTTCTCGCTCCTCGTTGCGTACTTTCGGTGGACCCAGCAACAGCATCTGCGGAAGCCGCGGCGGCGGCAGTAAGAGCAGCAGCAGCAGCAGGAACAACGAGTAGAAAGATGGTAAAGGTTATCGCGCTGAACGAAGGCGAGACCTGCTGCTGTTGGTGAGCGGTCCGTCGTGCGCTCGCTCCTTCGCCAGCTCGATCTTATGGAAGCGCCAAATTCGCCAAACTTTTCTCGACCGATGAACGAGGGAGTTTGCCCGCCGTAATGAGAAAGAAGCCAGCGATCTTTATGTGTATCAGCTTTCCAAGAAATTCGAGGTCATACCGTTCATACTCCGCCGCCGAAGCCCTCCGTGCACGGTTTGTACACGAGCTCGCGTCGGAAATTTGAGCTGCCTCGGACTGCGATCGGATGCGGGGTAGGATGAGCTGGTGCCAATCCTGATTTAGCTCCCCAGTGCAGCGTGGGTTCGACGTTCTTTCACGCCGTGGACTTTTTGCTCAAGCTCATGAGGTCGACCTTACGCTCTCAGGTTTGCCGATTGTGCGTGCATCACGGCCGTGCGGGCCCTCGTCTCCCAGAAATCTGAGGGCTGAGTTAAGATTTGGAGAAGGCGCATACCGTCCTCAAGGAGTCATGTCAGGTGTCCGCTCTCCGCTCATGAATGATCCCACGGGAAATTGCCAACTCAACGTCGACCTCCGGAACTTTGTCCGGAGCATGAGGAACCTTGGGGCGGACCATGCTTTCCATCACAGGGACTTCAATCAGTGCCTTAAAGAACTCGTCCCGCATCGATCCGCATGCGGGAGGCGAGTGCGGTTCGGAACGACGGGGATCGACGGTTCGCTCCTTACCATGCCTTCCCCGTTCGCTCATTCTCCGACTTCAAAGTATGAAATTACGCATCATCGGGTTCCTCACGCTCCGGTGAGACCTGAGAGCAGCGGGAGTCCCGCGGAGCATTTAGTTGCGAGCGGGTCCTAAGGAAGGCCCTGGACAAACGGTCACTCGGCAGCTGCTGGGATTTTCTCGTACATCGTCGCCGCCGCCATCCTCCTCCCATTTTACGGTTCAAGACGGTGTCGGCCCCTTGATACGAACTTATGATCGACGCTCTAGCCTGAATCTTTTCGAGCGAGCCGCTCGTAAATTTTCAATCGCCTACGTCGAAAATAATAAGTTTTTCTTTATATAACTTTTTTCCTTTATACTGTGCACTGAATAACTCTTAAACCCTCCTCAGAATCCCTGTTGAGCCTCTCGCAGATTTCATGGCTTGAGTTTTTTCCCGCATCGGACGTCGGATATGTTTCCTCTCTGGCGGAAAATCGTCTTCCCGATCTCCATTCTCCTGCGAATACGTCAATTCTGAACGTCCGGGCAGTATCTTCTCCTCATGAAATCTGCGGAAGTTTCCTCCGTTTTTCCTTGCACCCTGTGAGGCGTTCGATATCTCGTCTCGGACGCCTCCATCCTATGAGCGCTCTCTAAAAGTGTGAAATCGGCTCGGTAGCGATCAGTCACTCAAGTGCTAATTTACTCAGGCGTCTCCCGATTCCAAGGTCGCTCGACGTCAGGACGTCATGTCGCTAGCAAGTCGGGCGCCCAATCTCGACTTCCTTCGACGACTCGTCTTATACGCCCCCATATCGCTGATAAAAGTCTCGAACATGCACATATTCAGTCAAGACCTCACGGGAGGAGCATACCGCCTCTTTCCACTCCAGACCCAGATTGAATCATGAGACGTGCGCCTCGACTAAGCGGAGGAGTCCCAGAACGATAATCTAGAATCTAAACCGCTATGGATTCCTCAGGTATCGAGAGCACTCGGAGTCAGATATTTCCGTGGTTCAGAAGGTTCAGGTGGCGTGATGAACGCCGACGAGTCCCCCTGTACCCGCCGAACGCTCGATAACGTGATGAGAGGAAAGGCGATATGAAAAGGACGACGTCGGCCTCTCACGGATATCGTCGACGGGAATATCGAGACACAAATCTTCACGTCGAGTTCCGATGGGGCTGTTCCGGTTCCGGCGAGGGCGGCGCCATCGTGGGAATCACCGATCGATCCACAAACTGAATGTCCGAATAAACGATTGAGCGCAATCCGACCGCATCCTGTGGATGACGGCAATGAGACATGACACGCTCCATGTAGCGTCTTCTTCGCGTTCTTGGAGCATGCAAAGGAATTAGTTTCGATTTTTTGAAGTAAGCCTGAGTCGGAAAAATGGTCCTATTGCGAATCTAGACCATCGCGTACGATAATTCCTACAGCCACTGGCTTGCGGACCCAATTTACGATTGATATTTCTCTGCTCGCGATCGCTCCAAAGTCCGAAGTCTGAGCTACAAAGCGCAACGAGAACTTAGTTACGAGGCGCTACGAGAACCGGGTTACAATGCGCTGCTGGATAGCATGTACGGAATCTGAGTGATGGGAAACGATCATGATCAAAAGCATCTTCTCTGAGGAATCGATGTAGACCAGAGCCGGAGGTTCTTCTGACGGGACGAGGAACGCTCTCTTTTGACCTCTGCATGACTTCAAGAATAACCAAATGCGTCAAATGCGAGTTAGATTCGAAGAAAAATCCGCGGATCTCATCGTGTCCGAACTTGCCCGGCTCACACTTATTGCCGAGCTCCGACTACGCGGCCCAGGGCTTACCGTCGGTGTCTATGGCGAATCAAAGGTCGAAGGGCAGGAGCCTCAGAGATTCGACTTTTGAAACCAGCGTCCCGTGAAATAAATCCATGACTCCATCCGGGATTTCAGGCGAATGCTACGACAGTTGAAGGTGCCATGCCGAGGATATCCGTAAGATGGTGCACGGACAACAAGGTTTTCGGGCATAAGGAAAACGCAGCCTCCTCGGAGGGTGAAGCAGAAAACCCGTTCGGGCTCCGGAGCTCCGAAAAATGCTCCGAGGCAGATCAGGCCTGCGGTGCGGGCACCACTGATCGTATCGGAAGCACCGCCCGATCATTCGGGATCATTTCTCCGCCCAGAAAGGTAAGATTCCGCCGG